CTTTCTGTTGCTCGTGTTAGAAAGGGAGCGTCTGGGGACGTGCGCTGTGCCCAGCTCCTTTCCCCTTGGCTTCTCCGATGACGGTCCCCATTCTTCTTGAAGTGCCTCTTAGTGAGCAGGCTGCCACTGTGACTCATTCTCCCCGTGACGCCCAAAGGCCCAAATCATCGAGGTCCTCAGCGTTTCCTTTGTTCTTTTGTCCACTTTTCCTTAAAAAACATGTATGCATTTTCGGATCAATCTATGAAAAGAAGTCTGCATATGGTCTGTTTTCTTTCAATTATACCACCATTTTTTTCCAAAGAAATTAAGCAATGCTACCAATGTTGCAGGTTCTTGCTCTCAAGTTAACACCAGTGGATCAAGTTCTTGGTGGGCTATTTTAGAGGGTGAAATATCCAGTGAACAAAACCTAGTAGGATTCCCAGGAAATGATTCCTGGTCTGTTTTTGGAGAAAATTGGATGTTTCATAACAACAGGGATCGCCAAGCCCAGGAGAGGCGTTTGAGGTGAGTGGCTCCCACAGGGGAGTGGGGGCATCTCGGCACACTGTTAGGTGTAAACCTAGCTGAACAATTATGTACCTACGGAATCTTTATAGCACAATACTTTTATAAATATGATGTAGATATTGAGTGTCTGAGACAGAGTTCAGTAGGAAGCAACCATCAGGAAATCTCATGTGTGAAAAACACTGAAAGTTATGGCTCTGTTTGAGCCCCAGCCGGAGCATTAAACTTGTTACACTTTGAAACAATGCAGACAGTGGGGAAAACTTGCCCATTTGTGCAAATGGCAAATACATAGTCAAAATAATCATTACTATCCATCAATAAGTTATTAACAAAGAGATGATTAATAATCATTAATCCCTAATACTGTGCTTCTGATTTTGAACAGAAGTCATTGGGTGGAGAGTCTCTTTGGAGGTAACGAGGGTCATCAGTGTGGAGAAACCCTGAACCAGAATCCAGGCCTTCCTGAGGACAAGGGTGATCTGACTGCACCTCAGCTCCATAAGTGCAGTAAGTGTGGAAGAGCCTTCAGGGGTCATTCTTTCTTGGAGAATCAGCTGAGATCTCACAGTGGACACAAATCTCATCGGTGTGAGGAGTGCGGGCAAGCCTGCAGCTGTGTCTCCTGCCTGCGCAGTCCTGGGGGAACAGACGTAGTTCTGTCCCCTGTAAATGTCAGGGATGCTGGGAGAGTGTTTAAGAGAGATGTGAAGAGTCACGGGAGTGAGCAGTCCTTCGACTGTAAAAAATCTGGAAAAGCTGTCACTTGTCCCTCTTCCTTTCGAGGCCATCTGAGAGGTCACTCTGGACAGAAAGTCCACGTGTGTGAAGTATGTGGGAAATCCTTTACGTATTATTCCTACCTTGCGCGGCACGTGAGAACTCACACGGGAGAAAAGCCCTACGAGTGTAAGGAGTGTGGGGAAGCCTTCCGGTACCCCAGACCCCTGGGAAGACACGCGACAGGACACGCCGGAGAGAAGCCGCACGTGTGTAAGGAGTGTGGGAAGGCCTTCAGTTGTCCCAGATACTTCAGAAGGCACATGAAGACACACAGTGGGTTGAAGCCCCACAAATGTACGGAGTGCGGGAAGGCCTACAGTTGCTCCTCGTCCCTTCGAGAGCACGTACGAACGCACAGTGAAGAGAAGCCCTATGAATGTCAGCACTGTGGGAAGGCCTTCAGGCATGAGCGGTATTTTAAAAAGCACGTGAGAATGCACAGCGGAGTGAAACCCTACGCGTGTGTGGAATGTGGGAAAGCCTACAGTTGTTCCACGTCCCTTCGAGAGCATGAGAGGACGCACACCGGGGAAAGACCCTTCGAATGTCAGCACTGTGGGAAAGCCTTCACGCGCCATGCCTCCCTCCGAGGACACGTGAGGACACACAGTGGGGAGAGAGCCTACAGATGCACACAGTGTGGAAAAGCTTTCTGTTGGCCCTCGTCATTACGGAAGCACGTGAGGACGCACAGCGAGGAGAAGCCCTACGAGTGTCCACAGTGTGGGAAAGCCTTCTGGTATCCCGTAAACCTGCGAGGACACATGAGGACACACGCTGGGGAGAAACTCTGAATACGAGGACTGGGGGGAGGCTTCCTTCCCCCTTAAAACCTTGTAAATGTGAGCGATCACAGGAGAGAAATATGAATCAAAAGAAGGTGGGGGAACCTTAAGCACATCACTTACTTTATATGTGAAAACTCAGGGCAGGAAAAAACTTTTCATGGATATGAATACAGGTTTTCCTCCGTAAGTGCCTCATCTGGATAAGGATCCAGTGTGTTGACTTCTAGTTCGTGTCCTGATCTGAACACTTAAGATCGTCACTGTCCCTCTGTGTCCCCTTCACCGGGGCTACTCGCATTTTGTTATCTTGGACTTTACATAATTACACAGTCATATAAAAACTTGTCTTGTTTCCATTACGGTGTCATTTGAACCAGGGGTGGACGTGGTTTTCAGCTTTTTTTTTTTTCATGTGCAAGTTGGTATAATTTTTAGATGAAAAGGTTTCTGATTCTTTCTTGGCGTTGTGATCCTGGGATGTGATCCTGATAGGCGACCGGCACTGTTGAAATGTCCTGTCTGGTCCAGCGTCGCAGGCGCTGGGCTCTCCTGACTCCACCCTTGTCCTCCTTGAGTCTGTTACCGAGAGGTGTGTCTTCCATGTTTGTTTGTTGCTAGTAATACCGTGTATGTGTGTGTTCCTCACAGAAACTAGGAATTGTGGGAGGTCTTGGAAGGTGACAATCTTACTTGATTATGTTTATAACTTGGCATCTGCCCATTGTCCCTGATTTTGGTTGGATATTGGACATGATGCATTGAGTAACTGACCCGGTGGCGTGAAGATGAAAGCTCGTGTGCAGACGGTTCTACTGAGTTGTGTTGTGGGCGTGGGTAATCCGGTGGGAGACTAACCCAGAGTCCTTCTGTCAGTGGTTCTGAGTTGAAGTTCCTGAGAAGAGGAAGAGGCATGAGGTCTGGATAACAGAGGTAAGGAAGCCATGAGCCTCAGGTCTTCTGTACTGTCAGGAGGTGGAGACACACGGGAACTTACTGGGCCCAGTTTTCTGGCTCCTGGCCCTGCCCACGTGGGCCAGCCCCCAAGCAGACACGTGTTTGACATTAGTTCCTTCTTGGGCGCTTCTCCCCAAGTTCCTGCATGAATCCTCTTTGGTTTTCAGGTTCATACTTAGTGATCTTGTGCCTGCCCACGTCCAGCAGACCTGCCCCCGTCCAGCAGACCTTCCTGCGTGATTTCTGTAGGAAGCCTCGTGTTCCTCTAGTAGGGGAGATGTTCCTTCCTCCACATTTAATATGGCAGCAGGAACCTGCTTCCCTGGCTGCACTGTTGAAAGTTTATACTGACCCTGAATTTCTTGTTTCTATATTCTTCCATGATTGAAATAACCGCTTAGGAGTGTATCTGGGGCAGTTTTTGGGGCATTTTCTCTTGCAGACACGGCTTTCTAAATAGTGTGCTGATGACCTTCCTTCCCGCAGCTCAGTGGTGCACCGCTCTACTTGCTGGACGAGATGCTGCCTGCGTCAGGAACTGTTCCAACTAATTAAATTTGATCTTTAAGTTTACTCAGTGAATTTCTGCTGTTGAACAGATTTGGTGTCAACAGTGGGATTGAAGGACATTCCAACAATATTCAGAGGAAAGAAACACAGGCGTGATGCCCACAAACCCTTTTCTGAGTTCGCTGTCTTTCTCACCATGTCTCTGAGGGCTGTGGGTAAGTTCCTGTCAGCTCTGAGCTCTGCTTGCTTTGTGTTGCACGCCCAGTCAAACTGGCTTTCCAGTCCAGGGTTTAGTGGGTCAGCTTGCGCTGGAAGATGGTCCCATCCGGAGCCCGAGTCCCTGGTCCTTAGTTTGGTCTGTAATTTCCTGCTTGCTTGGAGCCCCTTTCCCAAGCTGCACCCCACAGCTCCTGCTTGCTGGGGCTGCCGGCACAGCCCCCGCCCCAGCTCCAGTCCGCCAGCCCCTCGTGCTGGGGTCTCCTTCCTCGGCCCGTGCTGGGAAGTGCTGGCGGCGCGCACAGCCCCCCCAGCCCGCCTGCGGTCACACGCCTGGGCTCTTGCTGGTTTGGTTGGGTGCACGTGTGTGTTTGTCTCATTTTGTGTAGATAAAGGCTACTGCTAACGTGGATCTTAGAAACCAAACATCCACAAAAATTGGTGGTCACAGATCAAGAACTTAAGAACTGTCAGAACACTTGCCACTGAACTCAGAGACACCCACGTTAGGATAAGTTGGTCACAGAATGGGTTGGATTGGTACCAGGTAACCCGTCAAATCATGAAAATTTCCATGCAGTGAGGTGCACTGTACACTACCACACAGTTTCCAACTCGGCGGCATGTTCCTTGTAGGTATTAGTTTGACTCCAAGTGACCCAAAGTATAAGAAAGAAATGGGGAGAGGGAGGGAGGAAAGAGAAAAATAAATAGTAAAATGAGATCCGTCATAGTCAGAGTTAGTAAGCATACCACCTTCCAGGGACCTGTTGGGGAGCTATGGTCCCAGAGCTAGAAATACCTATTTTTAAAAATGCTGGACAGGGTGTGGAGAAAGAGGAACCCTCCTGCACTGTTGCTGTGAGTGTAAATTGGTACAGAGATCACAGAAAACACTATAGACATTCCTTAGAAAAATAAAAATAGACTTTCCATATGATCCAGCAATCCCACTCCTGGGCACATACCCAGAGAAAACTCTCAATTCAGAAAGACACATGCACCCCCGTGTTCATAGCAGTGCTAGTTACAATAGCCAAGACACGGGAACAGCCCTAATGTCCATCACCAGATGACTGGATAAAAAAGCTGTGGTGTATTTATACAATGAGATACTTCTCAGGCATTTAAAAAAATGAAATACTGCCATTTGCGGCAAAATGTATAGACCTAGAGGTTATATTAAAGTAAGTCAGAAAGAAAAATAGCATGTATCATTTATATGTGGAATCTCCAAAAAATGGTACAAATTCTATTTACAAACCAAAAACAGACTCAGACATAGAAAACAAACTATGGTTAGGAAAGAGGAAAGGAGGCAGGGAGGGATATATAAGGAGTTTGGGATTTGCAGATACACACTATTATATGCAAAACAGATAAACAGGGACCTACTGTATAGGACAGGAAACCATATTCAATATCTTGTAATAAGCTATATAGAAAGAATCTGAAAAAATGTATGTATATGTATACCTGAATCACTTGGCTGTACACCTGAAACTAACATTGTAAACCAACTACATTTCAATACAAAATAAAATTTTTTTAAAAACCAGAGAGAGAGAGACTCCTCCAGTGAGGTCTGTCTTTGACTGCCTTGATTGTTGCTAGTTTGGGTCTTCAGGACAGAGGCTGTGAAGTACACCCCAGTCATTGGGGAATATCCTGCCTATTGTAGTAATAATCTCCCTGGTGCATTAACACCTCCTCTCAGAGGCTTTAAACACATGCTTACAGCCTCCTACCACCAAACCAACAATCTCCTTAAGATTAGAACGTGTCAACCGGTAACAATTGAGCTTGCAGGGAACAGAGACCTTTATTGGGGGTCTTAAGAATTGCAACTCAGGAGATAGACTCTGGTAAAACCAAGAGCGTTCCAGGGAAGAGAACGAGTCGGGGGTTTATACAGGTGAAAGCTGAGCAGCTGTACTCTGACACAAGAAAGGAAATGCCTGTGAGGGATGGCTGTCAGGAGATGCTTTGGGGTGAGGGTCTGATAAGCATTTTGACTTTCTTCCCCACTGGGCAGAAGCTCTCGATGCCTGCATTAAGACAGTAACTGGTCTAACTTTATTTTTATTTTTCTCTAGAAAAGATGGGTTTATTTTGAATCAGCGGAGAATTACGACTTGGAGTCTGCAACCATGGCAAGCCACGTGCAATTGCCTGCATGGCAAGGGAGTGACTTGGCTGAGGCGGGGGGGGGGGTTCCGTATTATCTTTTGTTTTTAATTGAAGGATAGTCAGTTACAATGTGTCAACTTCTGATGTACAGCATAATGTCCCAGTCATGCATATACATACATACATCTCTGGCTCCCTTTGAGAGAGCTCTCTTAGCAGCACTGACTCCATTTTGATATTCCTTTCACAAACATCAGGAAAGGAACCAAGATAATGATGGACTTAAAGATTATGAGCCTGCAACAGTGATTTACGAATATCATAGGAATTGAACAAAAAGCTTAATGACCTGCGGATGCCTCACAGAAGATGAACAAAATCCACAAGGTTGAGAGAGGGACAGAGGGGTAGCTGGGGGTGGTGCTCATGCCTTAAAATAACGTAACATCTCTCTGTGAAGCTGAGAGTCTGATCAAAAGGTGCAAATTGTTTTGTTTTCTGGAGAAGGATTTATTGCTTGCAGCAAGTAAGGAGAAGATAGGGGATCTTTCCCAAAGCAGTCTCCCTGAGGAGCAAAACCGGGGAAGTTTTAAGCTAAGGCTGCCCACATATTCATCCTTTTATGGAAGTCTAGTTGGTTTACAATGTTGTGTTAATTTCTCAGGCACACCAAAGTGATTCAGTTATACATGTATGTATCCTTTTTCATATTTTCCATTATAGGTTATTATAACATATTGTATAAACTTCCCTGTGCTACACAGTAGAACCTTTTTGTCTTATCTATTTTATATATAGTAGTGTGTATCTGCTAATCCCAAACTCCTCTTTTACCCCTCCTCACCGCTTTCCTCTTTGGTAACTGTAAGTTTTCTCTGTCTGTGAGTCTGTTTCTGTTTTGTCAGTAAATTCATTTGTATCATTTTTTAGATTCCACATGTAAGTGATACCATATATTTGTCTTTCTCTGTCTGATTTAGCATGATAACCTCTAGGTCCATCCATGTTGCTGCAAATGGCATTATTTCATTCTTTTCTATGGCTGAGTAATATTCCATTATATATATCTCACATCTTCCTTAGCCATTCATCCGTTGATGGGCACTTAGGTTGTCATGTCTTGGCTGTTGTAAATAGAGCTGCTATGAACATTAAGGTACATGTGTGTCTTTTTGAATTAGAGGTTCGTCTTTCCCAGATATATGCTCAGGAGTAAGATTGCTGGACCAAATGGTAACTCTATGTTTAGTTATTACAGGAACCTCCGTACTGGTTCCCGTTGTGACTGCACCAGATTACATTCAGAAGGTGGGAGTTGTTAATAACAAACACAGCAGACCCAAGATGGGGTGACTTGTGCAAAACCCCACATCGGCAATCCAGGACTTAACACTTAACCTAAACTGCAGTTTTATCTTCCCCCAGGGATGAGGCCTTGAACCTGGGATTTTCTGGTTAACACTGGTGAGGTGGTCACTGGACGGCAATGTCCCTGTTTGCTTAGGAGGCCCCCTTGCCTGAAACAGTGACCCTTGCTGATACTT